GGTGGGGCATCAGGGAAGGAGCGGGTAGGAGGTGAGGCAAGGGTGTTTGGGTTTGTGTGATTAGACAGTTGGCAACCGTAGACTGAAATATGGGGCAGGGATAGTCTTTTCATTCTCTGGGTGTATAATAACTGGCACCTGGGGTCCTCTAGGCATGACCACAATACAAATTATAATAATAATTGAGAGAGAAGAGATGTCTTTAAACAGTTAACAGTTAAACTGTTTCAAAATGCTGTCGATTTTTGTTTATTTAATCCCAGCTTCTGACAACCTTTTGGGAGAAAAGCTCTTTGTAAAAAAAAATTCAGCACTCCTGTCCTTTTGGTTGAGGGTGGAGAGAATTCTTCTTGCAGTTCTCTACTCCTCAGAGTTCTCCAAGAAATATCGGTAGACAAGAATCAATATTCCTGGTACTTGTAAGGATATGGGGGGCAGGTTAGGAAGCAGGAGAAGAGAGAGGCAAATAGAATCTTTCAGGCCTTTCTTATACATCCTAATGAAGGAAGTGAGGCAAAAGCACAATTCCTCTATCCCTCACCCTGTATTTGAAGATCACTTTTAAGGACCAAAAGTGACCAGGGTCTCTGTAAAAAGAAAAGGAGTACTTGTGGCACCTTAGAGACCAACACATTTATTTGAGCATGCTCGGGGGTCTCTGTGTTATATCTTCTTCAGAAAGTTTTATTTAAACCTGCAAAATGTCATCTTAAGACAGTGATGAAAGCCAAAGAGCAGATTTGCCTTGCCTTGATATGTGACCAAACAGGAATGCTAGTCTTATGCACAGAATCAAGGGTAAAGATTTTCCTGTGTTGATATCACTGATTTTGTCATAAAAGGGTTCTGGCTGGCTCAGCATAAGCTCTCTGGGAAGCGGGCGGTGGGAGGGTGGAGTAAAACTGATGATTTATTTTTTCAGTTTAGACTTTATTTGGCAAATAATTTGGTTTGTTAAAATTAATAAAATAAATTAATATAAAAGGTGCCATAGGGAATCCATGCGTAGTCAATTATTGATTGATATGAAAATATAGCGAGAGCAGCACTTCACAAAGTCTATGTACTTTTTTTTTTTTTTTAAAGAGTGCAAGCTAATCTCCATTGATAGGATGAGACAGGATGGCGGTGGTTCTGATTAATGCCATGAGCTGCACTGGCTGTCTGTTGACTTCTGGGTGGACATTAGGATGTTGATTCCGACCTATAAAGCCTGAATCTACTGGGACCATCCAGCTTGAGAGATTGCCTCTTGCCTTGTGCCTTACTGTTGCAGTTCAAATTGGAAGAAGCTCGCAAGCTGGAGCTTCCTTGGTATATAAGAGAGGGAGTGGCTGGCAGGATGGTCCTTGTAACAGCCCCATAACTTTGAAATTCACTATTCATCTTGGTCTTAAATAGCCTGGTACTCAGGCAGTGCTGCAAAGCCCATTTTCTTGAGTCAGTATTAGGGGAAGATAGAGGTGGCAGTGCCTGGATAAGTGGGTGAGTGTATTTTTGAAGTCTTGTTTGTAATGTTTATGCATTGTGTTTGTAACTGACTGCAGTGATGCTTAGAGGAGCAGATAAGTGTTTTTATGTGTGTTTGTTTAAATACAGTTAAATGAATAATATTTCCTCCTCTCCTGCCTGGCAATATCTAGTTTTATGAGAGTGGTTTTGTGCTGTGTTTTAAGAGAGTGTGTTTATATAGTATTATATTTTTCTTATTATAATACTCTGAGAGCCCTGGCAAGTGTTGTTTTAGAACCAGGATATATTATATAATGATTAAAACATTTGTAACATGCAATTATTCTATAGTAAGGCTGGGACATTCAAAGAAGCTTAAGGGTGCTGGATGCCCAGTTGGACATCTAACTCCATTAGGCCCCATGGAAAATCTCACCGTACTTGCACTATATTTGCACTTCTATTGCACTTTCCATTGGTGGAGCTCAAAGGCCTTTCAAAGCCTGTGGTAAAGCTGGGAATAGAACCCATATCTCCTGACTTCCAAATTCTGTCTCATTTGTATAAACCCTACGTTGCTTTACCTCTCTAATTTCTTATATTGACGCACCACTCTTTTGAGTACCTATTAACATATTAAAATTGAATTTTTGTTCTTCCTCTTTGTGGCTGCTTAATAATAATAATAATAATCATAATAATAAAGTGAAGATAATGTTTGTCTGCACAGGGAGATTGACTGGAATAACTATTGTGAAATAAGCTATTCCCGAATAGCTCCCCAGATGGACACTTTCTTCAGGAATAAAAGTCACTTTTATTCTGGAATACTGACTCTGCTTTGCGGGTGGAACTATTCCAGAATAAAAGTAATTTTTATTCCAGAAGGGTGTATCCGCATGGGGAGCTATTTTGGATTAGTTTATTCTACCATAGCTATTTCAGTAAATTTCCTTGTGTAGCTAAGGCGTATTTAAAAAAAAATACTTTACTAAATGAACATACTGACTTCAGGATGAGGGCTCTCTAAAGTTGGATTGACTAATGAGAACAAAATCAGAGACCTAACAAAAATATTTGATAAGACATGGGTCTATCCTGCCTAAGTTGTCTGTGATTTCTTTTTTTTTTTCTTTCTAATTTTTAGCTTCAAACTATTATTTTGGGTATATTAATGGGAAAAATAACCCTCAGGTCACAAGATTTGAGTGTTAAGGCATTGGATTGAACTCCAGATACAGATTCAAATCTTGGATCTTCTACAGAGTTCCTAAATGGTCTTGGGCAAGTCATTTAAATCTCTTTGTCTCGGTTCCCCATCTGTAAAATGACAGGTTTCAGAGGAGCAGCCGTGTTAGTCTGTATTCGCAAAAAAAAAGAGTACTTGTGGCACCTTAGAGACTAACACATTTATTTGAGCATAAGCTTTCATGAGCTACAGCTCACTTGTAGATGATAACACCCTTATGAGGCAGGAGAGCAGTATGAGGATAAATTTTCTGTTTGAAGTGTTCAGATGTTCTGATGATGTGAGGGCATATAAATACACTAATACACAGTAATGTGAATATAATGCGCACACGTGCGCTCCAACGTTAGAGATGGGATATCTACAGATGCCAGTGTAAGATGGTTACTTACAGTATACATCAGTAGGCATCTCAAAGTTCTGTGTGTTTCATGGTAAAGTTATCATACTGCCTGGGCAATTATGAAAGCTCAACAACAGCAGCTAGTTTTAACTGCTAGTAAATGTCAAGATATAAAGTGTTTTGAAAAATAACTTTAACCAACTGTATGGTGGTTGCATTGCTGTGCAGTGGTTATCGCTTATGTCCTTTCTAATAATTACCATAGCAACTTAGTAAAAACTGAAAATAACTGATGGCTGCAGTTTCATGTCAAATGTTACATATGGGCAATATACTATCAGTTTAAAATTTCACTACATTTAGCTAAATGATGCATAGTTTGGTGGAAGCACTTTGTTACTTCTCTTCAGCAGAACGAAAATGATAGCTTGTTCTTATTCACTATTCATCTTTCTACAATACTTGTTAAAAGCAAATGACCTTCTTAGTCGTAAGGGCAGTACCCCAAAACACACTCACTAAAAAGGAATCCGGGGGGATTTTGCTACCAAGCCTTTTCCTTTTTTGTATTTAGGTCCAGGAGAAAGTTGCACCTTTTTAAATTAAACTGGGTTTAAACTAGTTTGGTAATACCAGAGCAAACCCCTTATTTTGGTTTGAGAGGCTTCTTTTGCTTTATCTTAAACCACTTCCTAATTGACTTTAGCTAAAACGGAAATAAGCTCTAGCCCTCAAAATTAAATAATCACTTCATTATATTTTTTGAGAAGTCTGCATCCCCTTTTCTAAGTCCATTCTGTTTTAGCCCAAAAGACAAATCCTGTCAGGGATGTGTATGGCTGTTAAGAATAGTTTTAATTAAAAATAGTATCTAAACTACATGCTCTCCTCCTCCCATTTGGCTTTACCTTCTTTGTCAGCTGCGACTGTCGTTATTTATCCTAGCTCAGAGTGGGACATGTAAGTATTATGGAGCTGAAATGAGTCGAATGGCAGGAATTTCTCTCTAATGTTTCTGACACTTCTTCTCTTTCACATGCATTCTAGCCATTTTGGGCCAGTGGTGCTGAACACGGCAGCTCCTGCTGACTTCAGCATCTCTGAAAATCAGGCCTCTTTTGAATACATAGCACTTCAAGCCAATGTTCAGGGCTGGCCTGGGGCACCAAAGGTTTAGAACAAGGCTAGGTTATAGGTCCTTTAGTGGAGGTTAATGGTGGGAGGTTAATGGTGTCAATGGGGCTTGACAGAGTTAAATTTAAAAAAAAAATGTTTATCAATGTTTATTTTTAAGCATTGTTTCAATTTGTATCTATTTAAATGTTCACAGCTGTGGGAGATTAGTGGAGAGGGGACGTCAGACACTGGGAATGTCCAGACAAATCATTTAATGACAGCAGACATTGAGATTCCAAAAAGTTAAAGCTTTATAATCATTAAAACACAAACTGTCAAATCACATGTCAAAATATAGAAAGTAAATATTCTTAAATCAAACTCTGAAGCATGTTCTCGATGTCTTACTCTGTTCTCAAGCTGTGTTTGTCTTAATTTGTCTATCTGTAAATTTTGATTATTATTGATGGGAAAAAAAAATATATATATAGGTAGTGTGCGTATGCATGGGGAAATCAACATTTACCGACAATTTTTGATAAAATATAGTTCTTCCAACCCTACCTATACAGCAGCTGCTTCTGGAGCTCCTCAAAGATAGTCTGACATTAAAGTTGCATTTAAAATTCAGTGCCGGAATATAGTTTTAAAAGATTTTGTTTGGTTTTGGGGAGCTGTAGAAGTGCTTTGGAATCTATTTTACTTGTCAAGTGTAAGTCTTTCTTTGAGTTCAAACCCGTTAAGATTCATTCATTTCCACTGATCTTTAGTAACATCTTATCCTAATCCATATTGTTAACTATGCTTCATATTTGTTGTTCGTTTCACGTTTCTTTACAGGGATCCCTTGGAGTTGGCCCTGGGCATGGACAACTATTCCCAGTCCTGGAGGAGAGTAGTAACTAGTGGAGTGGCATTCAAGAGAAACCAAAAAACGTGCTGAGGATATCCAAAGTGTGACAGGAAGGGACAGCCTTCCAGCCCAACAACCATGCCTTTCGGGCTGAAATTGCGACGGACCAGGCGCTATAATGTCCTGAGCAAGAACTGCTTTGTGACACAAATCCGTCTGCTGGACAACAATGTGATCGAGTGCACACTCTCAGTGGAGAGCACAGGACAGGAGTGTCTGGAGGCAGTGGCCCAGAGGCTGGAATTACGTGAAGTAAGTGTGACCCAGGAAAGGCCATCTGTCAGTTGTAATTTAACATATTTTTAGCTCAAGCAATTTGTCATGTAGAATCCGTTTATTAGAATCATGTTATTCTTCGTGTTGGCCTGATCTTATCAGTAAACGGAACTTTGGCAAACGTATTCTGGTTTAATGAAAACTGATGACAGCACACTGCCTATAGTTTGTACTGTGATTAATGTTCATCCTTGCTGGGAAGAAATCTACATGATCGGAAAGAGAGCTTTCTTCTTTGCTTATGAAAATAAATGTATATTACTTTACCTTTGAGCGGGTAGCTGATAATTTCCACGTTTGGGCATCACATCAAAAATGTTAAAACTCCTTCTTGTGGCAGAGTCAGTAGACTAATGTTCTTTTACTTTGTTGTTGGAAAAAGGACTAGTTGTTAAGGACGAAAGTACCAAACTATAGTTATTTATCTGTGCAAATTTTGGGCCAAATCCTAAGGTTTTTACATAGTCCTTAGTAAGACAAGGCGGAGATAGACTTCGGGATTTGTTTCTTTTTCATTCTTTATATGTATAATTGAATTTATTTCTTGGTAGCAGCCCTATTGTGTAGACAATATGTATATATAGTTGCAGTATTTGGATGTGTTTTTTAAAAAAAGATTATTAAAATACATGATAATCAGATCATTCCATCAGTTTAGCATAGTGACATCTCTGTTTGGAACCCATGTTTTGTGGGAAGTTTCAGTCCAAAAGAAACATGATTGAGAAAGTTGAGTGGGTAAAAAGAAAAAGTTAGAAGAACTTGACCTACACCTTAACTAAAGCTATATGTGATAGCTGTGTAATGGCTGACTGTTCCTTAAGACACATCTTCCTGCATTAGGCAATATCTTTGGCCCTGGTTACGTTGGTTTTATTTTGATGTGACATCATTGATTTCAGTGGCTCCACTCTCTAATTTACAATGGTGGGAATCAGGTCCATCGTCTTTTGAATTTGGGCAGCATAGAACACTATTTTAATATGAAAATAGGCTTTGGTAAGAGCAACTTACTTATTTATTAAAATATACATAGAAGTTGAGTAGTGTATGTGGTAAAATCCTGTGGATATGTGAAGAGCTTCTTTTGGCGGTTTTTTATGTTGTATAGTTATTCTCAAAATTTGTTGAGAGGCTGAGCCTTCCCATCTTATATCTCGTCCTTCTTTTATTTTCTACTTTGTGCCATAGGAGTGAATGGGTATTTTTAGAATTGATTTTGTAAGAAAGATACTTAAAAAAAAAAAAAAAAAAAAAAAAGTTTAGGTACTCTGGGCCAAATTCTGTGCTGACTTATATCCTGTGCAGGTCCACCATAGTCAACAGGGCTTCACAGGATGTAAGTCAAGGCAGGGATTGGCCCATTGGGTTTGGATTGCCGCTATGAAGTGTGCACCTTCCTGTCCACATTTATCTCCAGGTTTCTGTTGCCAAGACTTGCTGATTAGCCCTGGGTCTTTAATTTACAATCCATATTTCTCCAAGTCCTGCATAGCTGGCAGGTGGCACCAGTTCTTCGTGAACCTATGTTATGTCTTTGGTTTCCATCCTGGCACAACCTATTCTCTGAAGGCATGTAGGGCAAAATTCAGATGAGCTGTAAACAGATGCTACTCCCTCGGTCTCTATCTTAGGTACTTATATGGCCCCTGTAGTATCTGGGCATGTCACAATTTTTAATGTATTTTTCCTCACAATGCCTCTGTGAGGTAGAGAAGTGCTATTATCCCCATTTTACAGGTGCAGAACTAAGGGCTTGTCTACCCTGGCGATTAACAGCGCTGCAACTTTCTCGCTCAGGGGTGTGAAAAAACACCCCCCCTGAGCGCAGCAAGCTGCAGCGCTCTAAAGCGTCAGTGTAAACCGTGCACCAGCGCTGGGAGCCGTGCCCCTCGTTGAGGTGGTGAGTTACGCCACAACCTACTCTGCACAATGTCTCCTCCCTGAAAATTGCCTCTCTTCTCTCTCACTAACCTCGAGTCCTACCCTCACCTTGCCTTTATCTAGATAGTTTTTGTAATCCTGCGTTAATCTCTTTTTTGTAAAATTATATATTTTTGTGTGTCTATCTAAAAATCAGTGTTTTAGACCTTGGGGTGTCTAGTGATGTTAATTGTATGAAAGACTCTATTAAAAATAAACAGTAATTGTGTTTTTAATTTGATATACTTATACTAGTTCTCCTGTTATATATGTGTTGTAAATTGTACCTTCAGGATCAGAAATAAACACACCTTTCAGTCAGGCTGACTTGGAAGGAAAATATTTTGTCAAAAACAAAACTCAATTTGCTTGAGTTGACTATGTGTATTGTTGTGGAAGAGCTATCAATCACTGTACCACACCTGACTGAAAAACAGTATTTAATGGGTTATGCATATTTTTATTTGATCTCCAGGGAATGCAGTTCTTTCCTTGACTGAGTCAGGGGTCAAGCATAGGTCAGCTGAAACTGTAGCCATGTAACTACTGTAAAATCAACTTGAATCCTTTCTAGTAAGCATCAGCTTGAAGACCTGATTCATTTTGAGTTGTTGACAGTTATCAGTTACATAAAACTTCATCTTATTGCAAGCCCTTGTAGGCCTTAATTTTTTTTTTTGTACTTTTAGCATTATACTCTCTCACACTCACAGAGAGAGAGAGAGAGATCAGGAAAGGAATTTAGTATAATAGGACTTACACCAGTTTTTTTATTGGAGAGGAGTATCTGTATTAAGTATTACAGAAGAATTTTGCTGTTAGCTGGCTATGAAACTGTTTCTTTTTTATTTTGGTTAAGGATATGTAAATCAATAATGCACTTTTTAACTGATTTAATAGATTAGTTGGTTGATATTAAGCATGCACAGCAAACTTTACCTTGATATTATGCTACTCTCAGTAGCCAGGCAGAATGGGGTTGGGTGTATCCCTACCTTTTTAAGTAAGAAAAATGGCACCTCTAGCACCATATGGTGCCGCAGAACTTCACATGGATCACTGGCTCAGTACTGAGGCAGAGGGAAGAGTGCTACTTACTGAATCATCAGCACCTCTTACTACAGCACTCTGGGCTTTTCTTGGAAGAGCTCCCATCCACGGACTGGCCCAATATAACAGGAAGTCCTGCATCCTGCAGTCCTACTGCCTCAAATGTGTCTGACTTGTCTTCGTCTCAAACTAAACAGGATTATACCCAATCAGTACATGAATGGGAGAACTTCCAAGAACAAGCAGCTGCAGTAAGTGGTGATCTCCCCTCTAAATCATTATTGAACTGATATCCCAGGATGGGATTAGGGGGAACTCCTCTATTAGAGGTATGCTGGTGCTTTATGGCTAAAGCAACAAGGACTCTTCCTCTTGTTTAGAGTTCAATTTATACTTGGCATTATAGCTGAATATACCAATAGGTGTTGAGTCACTAGATTCCTTTGATTTAAGTTAAGTACTTCAACAGGTGTTATTAGCTTTCCTCCTCCAGGCATCCCACCCATGCTGTCTGACAAATGAGTAGGGACGTCTCTATTATAGACTGCAGGATGCAGTAGAAGCTCAGAGTTACGAACCGACCAGTCAACCACGGAAGTATTTGGAACCGGAAGTATGCTATCAGGCAGCCACAGACACAAGGGGGAAGAAAAAAAAAGCAAATACAGTACAGTGCCATGTTAAATGTAAACTATTAAAACAATAAAGGGAAAGTAGCATTTTCCTTCTGCACAGTAAAGCTTCAAAGCTATATTAAATCATTGTTCGGTTGTAAACTTTTGAAAGAACAACCATAAGGTTTTGTTCAGTTATGAATGTTTCAGAGTTACGAACAACCTCCATTCATTCCCAAGGTGTTTGTAACTTTGATGTACTACTGTATAGCAAAAATTTATTAAACTGAAAGTTGTGGAATTTTTAAGCCTTTACAACAAAGTTTTGTGTAAATAAAGGTCTCATTGATCATTTTTAATGAATTGATTATTATATCTCTGAACCCACCATGTAAAGTGCATTAATGCACTTTAACTTCACACCTTCAGTTAATTTGGCTCACCTTTGGTATGTGTCCCTGGGTAGACATGTCCTCAGTGAAAACTTCCCAACTGAAAGAACAGTAGGACAATGGAACAGACTGCCTAGGGAAGTTGTGGAAGCTCCTTCACTGGAGGTTTTCACAAAGGAGGCTGGATAGTCATCTGTCTTGGATGGTTTAGACACAACAAATCCTGCATCTTGGTAGGGGGTTAGACTAGATGACCCTTGCGGTCTCTTCTAACCCTATGATTCTAAGAGGTCAATGACTGAACAGATATTGAAATGTTCTGCCCTTTCATCCCTATAGTTGGGGTCCCTCCACATCAGGGTTGAGGTACATTAGTAGAACAGTAGAAGGAAGGGTTATACTGGTACCCAGTTTAAAGTAAAACTAAACATTTCAATAAAAATATATGAAATATATTAAAAAGTATATTAAACCCTGTAAAATGGAAACAATGTTGAAAATGTTGGAACTTTTTAGAAAATTTTATTTAAAGAAAAATTCCAACCTTCTCAAATTCTGATGAAAAAGTATATTTAAATAAAAATGTATAATACGAAGCATATTATAGGCAAGGCTGTTTGAAAATTGTGACTTCTGCCCTACTCTTGGCAGTTGTTTGGTACGGTGAGGCAAACTGTCCCTGTTTTGTTTAAAATCAATGTAGAATTTCCATCAAGATTTTAAAGGAATAGGCAGAATAAAACATTAAGAAGCAACAATGCATCCCAAAGTATAAACTTAAAAATATAATAAACACACAGTTAAAACTAATTTCCTGCTACATAATCATTCCATATATGTAATCATCATCAAATGAATGTTCCTTCTTTACTAATTCATTGCTATATTAGATTAGATTTAGTTGCAGGTGGGAGGAGAGGAGAGATTGCAAGGAAAAGGAATGTGTAGGAGTAGAAAAAAGTATAGTAATTTTACCACCTTTCAGAAGAAATCCTTTAATACATGAACTCTTGAAACTAACTAGTTCACTTTCAACGTGAAATGATACAAGTACTGAAAATACTGTACTGAACTTTCAAGGTATTAAAAGGGCTTACAGTAATCCGTGTCATCTTGGATTGAAGTTTCCAATGTCAGCGATCTTAAAAATCACCCAAATAACCAAGATTATTTGTAGTCTAAAGTTTACATCTGTTATTCAAAGGTGAGGGGAAAAATATAAACACTGTGAATAAAAGGCTTTGAACAGCAGAAGTCATTTTATCCTGGGAATAAAAACTAAGGGAAAATAAAATCAAACATTTTGAACTACTTTAAACTTTCCAAGGAAAATGACGTGAATTCACCTCTGACTTGTAATGGCTTGGCTGTACTTGTGAGTTAGAGCGCATTAAAGCAACCCCGGGCGCCCTAGCTCACTACCTGTCCACACTGACAAGGCACATAGAGCGCTCTGACTCCATGGCTAGAGTGCTCCTGGTACTCCACCTCGGCGAGAAGATTAACGCTTGACATGTCTTGTCTGAAATGCGTGGGCGTCAGTGTGGACGAGGTGTTGCATTACTGCGCTCTGATCAGCCTCCAGAAATCTCCTTAAGTCAAGTGTCCACTCTTGTCATTGTTTTGGAATTGCTGCAGGAATGTGGGTATGCCCTTTGAAAGCTCCGTTTCTGACAGCCAGCTGCTTATCTGCTCCAAGACAAAGCAACCACTAGTGTGGAATGCTGTGGGGGGGGGAGAGGAGGTGTCTGCTGCTGTCTGAATTTACAAGACAGCATGCTGACATGCTCTCAGCCCCCCAGAAACGCACTCTCTCCCCCCCCCACATACACACAACACACTCCCTGTCACACTTCCCCCTCACTCCCCCCCATTTGAAAAGAATGCTGCAGTCACTTGCATGCTGGGATAGCTGCCAAGAATGCACCACTCCCAGTGCCACTGCAAGTGCCACAAATGTGGCCATGCCAGTGCGCTTGAAGCTGTCAGTGTGGACAGACTACAGTGCTTTCCCTACTGCGCTCTCCGAAGGCTGGTTTAACTCAAAGCGCTCTACATCTGCAAGTGTAGCCATGCCCTAAGCTTCTGGCATGTTCTGGTAGATGTAACAGGCTGTCCAAGGGCAGTATGCATCTCAGATAATTGAATGATGGCTTGTGGAAGAAAAGGTGGAAAGTACAGTGGGCATTTATGGAATGTAGAAGTGATATGCTAAATGCTTTAAGGGAGGAGAAGTAAGTCACAAACTTAAAGGCTGGATACACTTGTGAGTGCACAGAGTACTTTTCTGTGTACGTGATAAATGACTCATAAAAAAGTCAAACAAAAAATCTCAGCTACCTGACTTAAAAGAAAAGAAAGTTCACTGGGGCATTAATTCTTGACACTTTCAAATATTTTATAATGCTAAAGGAGTTAAACAACCTGAAGATTACTGACCTCCTGGATAGCAAGGTAAGTAAATCACAAATATGGAGACTCTGCCTCTGGGTATTAGCCATGGAATAGAGTGCCTTTCATCTCTCGGCAAATGATTCAGAACCAGCCCAGATATATCATTTCCAAAAGTTGGTACCATCTGATGGCTCTTTGGATGAAGATGAATAGCTCATTTCACACAGATCACCAGTTTTCACTGGACAAGTATCTGCATAAAAAAACCCACTGCCACAACTAGCAGAAATTGCAACACTGTAGACTATTTCAGCAAAGAGGCCAGTGACTGAAGCAGCACTTGCGATGAACTGTACTTCGAAGAGGTACTGTGAGGGGAAGTTTGCGATGGCGCTACCCCTGGTGTACCCATTTTGTGGATAGAAAGAGAGCATGTTGCTAGAATTCAGTCTGGCACCTTTCACACACATACAAAGAGCTGTAGGAAAAAAAAGTTGGTACAATTTTCTTCCAGAGTTTTCTAAAAGTTGCCTTATGTTCCACACGGCCCCAGCCTTATGTACATGACCTGGAATTTCTTGGAGTGTACACGTTTTTCTTAGACAGTAGATATACATGCAGAAACATCGATTTCTAACACATGCTAACATCACACTTTAAGGGCTTATTAGTACTAGAGCTGGCCAGAAAACATTTGTTTTGGGGAAAAAAATTGAGCTGTTATAATGTGTTTTCATATTGATATAGAAAGAATTCAAGACCTTTCAAAACTTCATGAAAAAAGGCTGAATGTGTATAAAATCTTTTACTTTAATCCTAAAGTTCCATGTGTAGATTCTCTGTATCTCATGGTGCTAGATGGGGGGGAGGGGACGACTACCACCATACCCCTCTTAAAACCTTCCTACAGAAGAGGTATTTTTCAGCTCAGCAGTTGGCTTCTACTTTCTCTGCAACAGATGTATGTCCACACTGCAGTTTTACAGCCCTGTTGCCCGAGCCCTGTGAGCCTGAGTCAGCTGACACAGGCTAGCTGTGGGTGTTTAATTGCCGAGTAGACATACCGTTAATGTGCAACCCTGTATAGATAGTAGTGAAAAGCACAGATCCCGTATTGTGATGTATACTGTATTTCAAAAATTGACATCATCTTCAAATTAGTCCCAAGAAGTAAAAATGAAAGCAAAAGACAACTTTGGCCTTGCATCTGCATTGGGAAAATTGACACATTATTGCCTTCCATTTTTATTTGCATTTATGACCTCAGTTGTGTGTGTGGTCTTGAAAATAAACTGTCTCTATTTGACTTCTTTATTTAGACACACTACTTTGGCCTTTGGTTTCTCAGCAAGAGCCAGCAAGCACGATGGGTAGAACTGGAAAAACCTCTGAAGAAACAGCTGGACAAATTTGCCAATGAGCCTTTGCTTTTCTTTGGGGTAATGTTCTATGTGCCCAGTGTGTCCCGACTGCAGCAGGAGGTCACAAGGTATGTGAATTCCTTCTGGTCATCCTGTTGATAGTAAATCTGTGATAGATGTGTATGAACGGACAATTACTCTTTTTTTTTTTTTTGTTCTGATTTTTAAGATTTTGAGTGTCATCTATTTTGTTCCCTTCCTGACAAGTTCCAAGTAAAACCAGTGAGAGAAATGACCAGTTGGCATATCCATTTGAAAAGATTTACTCTGTGTGTTGCATCTCAGCTAGTGTTCTGCAAAAACGAGATGATAAAATACACATTAAAAACATGAAATCCTACCTGCCTGCCTCAACTGGCGGGGGAACTTGATGGGGCCAGCGGTAAAGAGGGACAGCCTCAGCAGCAAGGGAGGGAGACACTCACGGTGAGGGACTCTATGTAGCTCCTCCCTGTCCGTTGGAGTCTCTGGCATCCAGTCTCTGGCATCCATTGACCGGTTGATGGAGAGGGGCACTGATTGACCTTCACAGCCCAGCTCCAGGGATTTAACATGGAGCACAGGCCATGCAGAGCCTCTTTCAGCTCCATTCCAGAAGTCCTACCCTACCCACCCTGAACTAGAAATGGGAATCCGACCTGGCAGATGCTGTGGGTTGAGCTTGTCGCCCGTTTGGGGATCATGAAGGAATTTTATCTTGCACAGGGCCAGTTGGCAGAAGTCCAGGGAGCATTTTTGCCTTCTTTTCAGCACCTTGGAGTCAGAGTGGGTTAAGTAGGAATGTGCTTACTACCTAACTGATGTACTTGGTTAAGTTGTTAATTTGTAGCAACTTATTGCTGGCTTCCAGTGCAGTTAAAAGGGTATTGCATGGGCCCAGAGGAAAAAGACCTGGGATTTTGCTGATGGGTCTTGGGCTCATCGCATAGGTACAGATCTTGTGGCCCTTATGGGACAAAGTCCCCACCCTTTGGTGTCCTCTGACCCCCTCGTCGGGGGGAGGGGCTAAGACTCAGAGCAAGCTGAGTCTTGCGGAATTGGTTGAGGAGAGCCTACCCCGAATTATGGATTATATGGTAGGAGCCCCATAACCTCTTCAGTGAAACCACTTAAATGTCTGGCATAGGAGAGAATGGGTTGCCTCTCCCTTGTGTTTGAGTAATAAAGTTTCAGTCTGCCGCTTCAAATCCATCCATGTTTCTGTCCCCATTTCACCTCTCTGTCTGGATCAGTTGGAAGGGTAATCTAGTTGCCAGATCTTCATGTGCTTTGGTGTGTTCTTCTACAAGCCTTACACATTTGACATCTGTTTACATTTTTGGTTTCTACTTTATATTCTCTAATAACTTCTGCTGTAAATAAATCTTAGTTTTGTCTTCTATCCATAGAATCATAGAATATCAGGGTTGGAAGGGACCTCAGGAGGTCATCTAGTCCAACCCCTGCTCAAAGCAGGACCAATCCCCAATTAAATCATCCCAGCCAGGGCTTTGTCAAGCCTGACCTTAAAAACTTCTAAGGAAGGAGATTCTACCACCTCCCTAGGTAACGCATTCCAGTGTTTCACCACCCTCCTAGTGAAAAAGTTTTTCCTAATATCCAACCTAAACCTCCCCCACTGCAACTTGAGACCATTACTCCTTGTCCTGTCCTCTTCTACCACTGAGAATAGTCTAGAACCATCCTCTCTGGAACCACCTCTCAGGTAGTTGAAAGCAGCTATCAAATCCCCCCTCATTCTTCTCTTCTGCAGACTAAACAATCCCAGTTCCCTCAGCCTCTCCTCATAAGTCATGTGTTCCAGACCCCTAATCATTTTTGTTGCCCTTCACTGGACTCTCTCCAATTTATCCACATCCTTCTTGTAGTGTGGGGCCCAAAACTGGACACAGTACTCCAGATGAGGCCTCACCAATGTCGAATAGAGGGGGACGATCGCGTCCCTCGATCTGCTCGCTATGTCCCTACTTATACATCCCAAAATGCCATTGGCCTTCTTGGCAACAAGGGCACACTGCTGACTCATATCCAGCTTCTCGTCCACTGTCACCCCTAGGTCCTTTTCTGCAGAACTGCTGCCTAGCCATTCGGTCCCTAGTCTGTAGCTGTGCATTGGGTTCTTCCGTCCTAAGTGCAGGACTCTGCACTTATCCTTATTGAACCTCATCAGATTTCTTTTGGCCCAATCCTCCAATTTGTCTAGGTCCCTCTATCCATATTTTTCTTTCTTGTGATTTCCTTTTTCCTCCTGCAGTTCATGACAGGTTTGCAATTAACGTTTTTTTGTTTTTAATTTCAAATCTTATTTTATGTAAATTCACTGTTTATGCGTCAATTTCCCACAATTTTGACAACAAAATTCAGGAAACAGTGGCTGGCTTTTGTAGAACGAGTAAGTAAAGGGGGCACATAAACCACTGAGTTTTACATAGGTTCTACATTAAAATTGGGGATTTCTTTCTTGTCAGGGGAGTGGTGGATTTAAGTTGGGAGGTTTTTTAGTTTTAAATAGGGCTGTTAATTTGTTTTGAGTTAAATTGCTTGAGTTAACTCGATTAAAAAAAATCTTGATTGCCGTTTTAATCACACAGTTAAACAATAAAAGAATGCCAATTTAAATTTATTATAAATATTTTTGGGTTTTTTCTACATTTTCAAATATATTGATTTGAATTACAACACAGAATGCGAAGTGTACAATGCTCACTATATTATTTTTGGTTACAAATATTTGCATTGTAATAAAGATAAACAAAAGAAATAGTATTTTTTCAGTTCACCTCGTACAAATACTGTAGTGCTTTAGAATCTCTTTATCGTGAAAGTGCAATCTACAAATGTAGATTTTTTTTGTTATGTAACTGCACTCAAAAATAAAACAATGTAAAACTTTAGAGCCTACAGATCCACTCAGTCCTACTTCTTGTTCAGCCAGATGCTAAGGTGAACAAGTTTGTTTACATTTACGGGGTCCTACCTGTAATGGACTTTCACGATAGAGATTGCAGTACAGTACTTGAAGGAGGTGAATTGAAAAATATTATTTCTTTTGTTTATCTTTATTACAGTGCAAATATTTGTAATAAAAATAACACAAAGTGAGCACTGTACTCTTTGTATTTTGTGGCAAATAGTCCTCTGGCACTTTATAGACGAACAGACGTATTGGAGCATAAGCTTTCGTGGGTGAATACCCTCTTCGTCAGATGCATGTCCGGATAACGGATGCAATTGTGTTATAATTGAAATCAATGTATTTGAAAATGCAGAAAACATCCAAAAATATTTAAATAAATGATATTCTATTATTGACAGTGCGATTAAAACTGCAATTAATCATGATTAATTTTTTAATCATTTGACAGCCCTAGTTTTAAAAGGAACACCTTTTGCCACCCTGTCCTTTCACAATTGGCTATTTAGCCTCAGACAGATCTTCCCACCAAATTGGTGATTAGACTGACAATAAAATCTGCCTTGGGTAAGAGGCTGCCTAGAGAGTGAATTGTGACTCAGTCCCAATTTATTCCCTGGTTCCCCACTTGCTTCAGGGTAGGGGGGAAGAAATTCATGCCAGGCCTTCAGCGGGTCTCATTCCTCTTAGTATACACGCTGGAGGACAGACTTAAGGCACTGTCTTTTCTTCATCCCTGCCTGCCCACCTGCGTGGAAGGGGGAATAGTGGCCCCTGCGGTATGTCTACACTGCAGTAAAGAACCTGCGATGGGCCCGTGTCAGCTGTCTCAGGCTTTGGCTACATGGCTATAAAATTGCAATGTAGATGTTCGGGCTCAAGTTGGATCCTGGGCTCTGTGACCTTCCCCTCTCAGATGTGAACCTGAACATCTACACTGCAATTACATAGCCCTGAGAGGCCAAGTCAGCAGATGCAGGCCAGCTGTGGCTGTTTTACTGCAGTGTAGACATACCCTTGGATGCTGTGACCTGCAGTGCTGGTAGCTCTCACAGAGGAGAAGAGAAACACCTCCTTACTACCATGCACAGGTGTGTTAGGCATTTGACAGTCTTGCTGTAAACTCATTTTTTGGGAAGGTAATTCTGAGGCCTTTTAAACCTCTGTTGTACTTGCGAGTACTGCAGGTTTGAGTGGCTGTGGATTCCTATAGTTGCATTTTGTGTTTCTTTAAGCTGGGGTTGACAGTTTTTCTTATTAAGTGGCAACAGTGAACATAGTAACTCACTAATGGATCTCTGGTACAGTACATTATATTATAAAGGCATTAAAATTATAGAGGATACAGTGGAAATATGTGGCTTCTGTCTTTCTGTTATGTTACTTGTTATGAGAACAAAGAGAGTCTGGAAATTAAAGGGCAGTAAATTTAGAATAAAAAAAGGAAACACGACCCCCTACATAGTTCTACAGTGGTATGGCAACGCAAAATTACTCCTAGGTATCAAGGAGCTGGAAAATCTTATTGTACCTAATGTTTAGCTATGCAAATTCAGATAAGGACAAGAAATTTCATTTTTCAGGACATGGGATGCTCACTTGTGGGGATCAGGAAGAATTCCCCCTTCCACCATGGGCAGTGGAGGGTATCTGTCTGAAGCATCAAAGATCAGTTGAGAGAAGACTAGCTGGGCCAAGAGTCTAATAATTTTTGACAGATCTGGAATAACAGGATGGTTATGGAGAAGAGTCAAACTTAAAAGGAATGACAGCAACCCACAGACAAACAGAGAACATCATACGACCACTGCTCCACTGGAGGCAGCTGCTCCCCAGGGTGGGGATTGAACTACCCTATTTCTAGGAGAGGAAGCTTTAACGTCTAGTCATTGCTCCATAGGATCAATGCTAGGCCGTGTTCCATATTTGAAGGTATATTGGCTGGCTGTGGCCCTCCTGATGAAGTTTCCAGAGCTCCCCTTCCTGGAAGTACTGCTCCTTAGTGTATGCTAGCAGCAGCCTTGTATCTGGCCTGTTAATTACAAATTGTATGAATTGGAATTTGATTTTTTTTCAAGTATCTCCTTCTGATCAAACACATCATTCACTCCATTTAAAGCTGCAAAAACTACCAAAAAGAAACCAAAAATTTTA